GAGGCAGCCCTTGGCCACTTGTGAGGGGCTCGCCACCGAGAAGCCCACTCCTCATCACGTGCTGGCCACCCACCCGTGGGACGTGAGCGAGCCCCTTGCCACGAACACACTCTGCCATCCACCCGGACGAATTCCTCAACCTTGGCAATGACCCTGTGGAGGACAACGGACCCATGGCATGGCCCCCGGAGCCTCTGCCAGGACAGTGGGTCTGGCAGAGCTGGCCACGGTGGAGGGCTGGTGCTGGTGTCAGCGGGGCCTGTCTGAATGTCCTGGGAATGCCATCTACCCCTCGCGACCGTGTCTAGAGAGTTCATGGAATAGCAAGGAATCAATCTGACCTGGGGCTGCAGGGAGCCAGCCCTCGAGGGCCGGGGGCACGTCCCCCTCTGCGCTGGGCTGCTGACTCTTCTCCAAGGCTCTCGTCTGGAGGGATGTCTACGTGTCTACACCGGCCCTGGGTCCAGAGCCTCCAAGCCTCCTGCGTGTTCCCCCGCATCCTGCAGGCGGGTCCCATGGGCGGGAGGGAACACGCAGCCCCAGCTGGTCACGTGGTGCGCCTAGGGCTGGAGTCAAGGGGGGAGGACGTGACACAAGCCCCGTGTGGATGCCACCTTCGTGCCCACCAGACTGCAGCTCCCTGCTGCTCTCTCGAGTGGTGGCAGCTTCCGAGACAGCTCAATGCCGCGCTGAGCACTGGAAGGCTCTTCCTTGGGCTTGAGGACGCCACCTCTGCTTATTGGTAGGGACCCCTCAACCCACGCAGTCATGCCAGAGTCCAGGGAGACCCTCGGCTCGGTCCTGCCTAGGCCTGGGCCACCTCCACTGGGTCCCAAGGCTGAAACCCAGGCCGCTTCACAACTGGGATCTCCACTGTGGTTCAGGAAGGGCCACGTGGGCAGGAAAAGGAGTGTGTGCACATGTGCATCACGGGGACACGGTCTCTCCCCACGTCTGTTCTGGTAGCAGAGACGGCGACAGACGTGACCCAGCCACAGAAGCTGGACTCCGACATCCCCACCCGAGCCCAGCTACAGGAAGACCCGAGGGCAGGGGACACAGGAGTGGCGCTGCTCCTGATGTCTGGGCTGACAGGCTCCCTGGCGCCACGTGCTGAGGGGAGGCTCTGGCCCCTGGCTGGTGTTCAGGCAGGATGTGGCCCACCTAGTGTGGTTTCTTCCCCTCCTTTCTGAGCACCATCGGGGAGGAACTTCCAAGCACGGGATACAAATGGGGATCTCGGAAGTGGGCCAGTCTGGTAGCTTATAAAATGGTATGCTCTCTCCTTTTACCCATTTCTGAGTGATTCCTAAGAAGGGCCCATGAGAGGAGGGAGGAATTTCGGTGCCATTGGACGTGGCAGTTTCATGGGAGAGTTTCTTGTGCGCCTCTGAGGTGGGACTTCACGGCCCGGCAACCTTCTGGAGGCCTCCCTAAAGCAACAGGCATTTCCTGCCACCTGGGATGGCCGTGGGCAACGGCCAAACCCTGCCGGTGCAGCTCTGATAAAGTGAGCCCTCTAGGGACAGGGGACTAGGGTCAGATGACTTCCAAACCCCTTTCTCTCCCAACAGGCAAGGGCCATGACTCCCCTTTCCTTTTGGGAGTCTAGGGCCACGGACTCTTCACGGTGAACTGGTCATACATTTTTGAGTGTGGGAATCAGGGTCTCTGTCACTCAGGTTGCAGTGCAGTGGCACGAGCATGGCTCAACACGGTTCCTTCAACCGCCCGAATTCAGGCCATCCTCCTGCCTCAGCCTCCCGAGTAGCTGCAACCACATGTGTGCATCACCATGCTCGGCTAATTTTTTGTTTTTGTTTTTTTTGTTTTTGTTTTTTGTAGAGACGAGGTCTCAATAAGTTGCCCAGGCTGGACTGAAACTCCTGAGCTCAAGTGATCCTCTCGTCTCGGCCTCCCAAAGTGCTGGATTACAGGCGTGAGCCACTGTGCCTAGCAGTTGATGGTTCAGCCAGGATAATACGGGGAGACTTTGAAAAAGCAAACTGAAAAAAAAGACGTCTTAGCCGGGCTCGGTGGCTCAGCCTGTAATCCGCGCCTTGGGAGGCTGAGGTGAGTGGATTGCCTGAACCCGTGGGTTTGAGACCCGTCTGGACAGTGAGACCTCATCTCTACAATAAATCAAAAAGTCAGCTGGGCGTGGTAGCACGCGCCTGTAATTCCGGCTACTCGGAAGGCTGAGGCGGAAGGATCGCCGGAGCCCGGCAGGTCGAGGCTGCGGTGGCTGGGAGCGGCCACTGCACTCCAGTCTGGGCGACAGAGTGAGACTCCGACTCAAAAAAAAAAAAGATGTCTTCTTTAACAGCCCTGTCCACACCCACACATACGCACGGACATGGCCCACCCAAAAGGCAGGTGGTGGGCTACCCAAACACACCCCCCAGCTCACTGCCAAGTATGGTAAAATGACTTAAGAAACGCACTCCGTGTTTCTTTTAAAAACGTTTATTGCGCATAAAACAGACCCTTCCTCTTTGTGGGTCAGATGTTACCACCTTAAAAATTTTTTTAAACTTTCTTGACCCATCCAAGAGGTTCTTCTCTTTTGAAAGGGTTAAGAATCGTCTGTCATTGCTGGTCAAAATCGGCTGGAGGGCGGCCGCTGGGGGCGGGGGCCAAGGGCTGGAAGGCATCCTCTGGGCGGGGCCAGACCCCAGGCCGGCCTCAAGCTCGGGGCCACGGCTGCCTCCCGCGATGCTGCGTGGGGCCAACTCTGTGTGGTGTCCGTGTGTCTCTGCGTGTCCACCCTGCTGCCCTGCCCTCCAGGGGAGGCTTGGCTCTTGGAAAGAACACCCGCCTGGAGCCGTGTGCATTTCCGCGGCTGGAGAACACGCCGTGCGGCAAGTCACCAAGGCATTCGACTCCGCTGCAGTCCAGTGGTTACAATCTGGGAGCTTTTCAAAACCAGGCTCTACTTGAACTTGAAGTCCTAACACTGTCGGGAGTGGCGGCTGGGAAGGCTGAGCGGGCCTGCGGGGCCTCTCTGCGGAGTCTCTGGTCCCCTCTCTAGTGGCTGCAGGCGGCAGTGTGCTTTGGACGACGCAGTGATGATAAGGCTGACCAGGACTGAGCCGCAGCAGAAGTAGACATCCGGTGACATCTGGTCTCCAGCAGGTCGCTTACAGCATGTCGCGATTGCCGCCTCCCTCATGAAGCACTTTGCAAATGGCCTCTTGGCTCTGGGGTCAGCAGGAGCTACGAGGGACCGAGGCAGCTCTGCCAGGGCATGGCGGGTCACGGGGGCATTTGAGAGGAGACAGGTCAGGGAAAAGGCCACACAGGCAGAGAAGGTCCTGTCCCCAGCCCGACCTTCCTGGAAGTTTGGGGTTTGAAGATGAAACTCGGAACACCCTCCTCTCCCCCCTTTTAAGAAAAGAGAATAAAAATGGAGACTTTGCCTCATCAGAGAACAGGAGGTGAAAAAGTCAGGGCTGTGGTGGTCGCGTCTGCACACCTCCTGACGCCCACAGGAACGAGATGGCAGCTCTCGACAAAGTGGACAGCAGGACAGGTTCTCTGCTCCTTTGCACTTAGAACGAATATTCAAGTAGAGGCACAGTGTGGTTCCCCATGGAAACCCCAAGGTCAGCACGGCCCGGACCTGCCTGCTTCAGGAGGCCCCAAGGAGTGGCCAGGCCTCTGATCTGCCCGGCCCTCCCCATCAGGAGACGGCTGGAGCGCCCCCTCGGAGCGGTCCGGCCCTGGTGCCATCCCCCTGGCTGACTGTGTGCTGATTTTTCCATAGACAAGCACCCCACCCATAACTTTCTCAGGGCCTGATAATGGCACCCAGCCAGGCTCGGGCTGAACCGTGAGAAATGACCAGTTTGGCTGGAGGAGCTGGGGACACAGCGCTCACCACCCCTTCCGGGAAGGGAGGGCTGGAGTCACCTCCCTGCTCGCGAGACACCAGCCTACGCCCACGGACATGCTGCGGCACGGGACCTTCTGTCTGGCTGGACCTTGGGCTGGGCAGAGGAAGTTCTCACCAGCCGGCCTGGTGGCAGGGCTCACCCGGCACTGCGTCAGCCAGCCTGGAAGAGGACTCATCCCGAAACTTGAACGTGTACGTCGAAGACGGTGAAACTCCGGCACCAAAACAGAAAAAATGAGCTCTGCGGAGCAGGGAAGCCCACAGGGAGGACGAAGGTGGCAGTTCTGCCTTTGGCTTGGCCCTCAGAGCCGAAGGGCATCCTTGACAAGCAAGTGGCGCCTCATGAGCACGCGGCACCGGGCAGAGAAGGGGCCAGACAGCCACAAGGGGGGCGGAAAGCCACGAGCAGGCCCCACGCGTGGGGCCCGGGCGGCTCCGATGCCGACCGGGCCGGTGACACGATGAGGAAGGCTAATAAATAGATGCACGTGGAGAACGTTCGGTCCATCCTGGCCCGGGTTACAGGCACACAGCAGAGAGGCCGTGGCAGTTCCCGCACCCGGTGCCCAGTGGCCAGCGTCTCTCATGAAGATATAAAAAGGAAGTTGCTTCTTTTCAAGTATTAAAAAAATAAGTTAATTGACAAAAAGGGTCTGAAGGGGCTGAGCGTCTCGCCACGTCGTCAGCTTCATTTCAATGTGCAAACACGGGAACAACGCCAAGGAAAAGGCCATCTCCTGCCCCGACGTGAAGCTCTGGCCAGTGACAGTACCTGTCACCCGGGGGCTTGACACGCAGGGCCTCGTCTCATTCCCCAGAGTTAGTATTTTCCAGTGTCAACACGGTTGTGAACTACAAGCAAACTGCAGCAGCCCCACAGGCCTCAGGCCCTGCCGGGGAGAGGCCGGGGACCCTGGGCCCTTTGGGGTCCAGTGTGTGGTGTCGGGCTGGGGCACAGACCCCTCCTGCATCCTCTCCACCTGCATAGCAGATTCTGGGGCCTGCCCGCCCCACGGCGTCCTCTGGGAGGCTGGGGTGGCCACCGCCCTGACGGGCCCCCGCCCCTCCTGGGTCTCAATTCACAGCTGGCTTTGTGGGGGTGTTTTCGGTGTCTTTGGTGATGCTTCAGGGAGATGAAGACGGCCGCGGCTCCTGCCCCCTGGCGGTGTGCTGTGGGGGCTGAGGGTCTGATAGAGGGAGCGGCTTCCTCCTCTTACCACAGGTGCCATGGGAGAACGGGGCACCAGCCAGTGCACCCTCAGGGAGCGTGCGGGCGCCCGCGTCACATACCGCATGCGCCATGCTCCTCTCTCCCGAGTGGAAGGCCCGGGTAGGCCGCCTCCCAGGAGGGGGGCTCACCGGAGAACCACCGCTGCCTGGGGCTTCCCGACAGCACACGGGACGTGACCCCACTTTCCGAGAGGCACGTGGGCATCTGCGCGCAAACTCCAGGGAGGGGCCAGGCCCTCTCAGATCTCAGATCCGGGCAGTTGGGCGAGTGCAGCCCGGCCAGGCGGGTGCCGACGGACCAACGTCGAGTGCGGGCGGGCGCTCAGGACCAGTTCAGGCTGAAGCCCTTGGACAGCATGGCGGCCTCCAGGTCCTTGTCTTCCTCTTTCTCCCGGAGCCGCTGTTCCTCCAGCAGGGCTACCAGGGAGTCTCTCTGCTCCACCACCTCCAGCATCTCGTTAAGGATCTTCTTCTCCTCCGACAGCTCCTCCTCGGTCTTCAGGTGATCTGGGGGTAGCCCAAGACACCCGGCATGAAGGCCTGGGAGGCAGCCGCCACCCTGGCCTCCCTGGGTGAGCGCCACTCACCTTCCACCGCCATGCGCTCCCGGAGCTCTTGCTGTAGGCGGCTCTGCCGGTCTTCCAGCTCCAGCTCCCGGGCACTGCAGGGGAGGGAGAGAGCAACAGTGAGTCGGAGAGCACCCCGTCCCCCGACCTGTCCAGGAAGGGCCCCTCCACGTGTCTGCTGCGACGGCCACAGAGCTGACTCCCCCCGGCCCCAGACCACTCACAAGATCATCAGCTCCGACTCGTAGCGCACCATGGCGTTTTTCTCTTGCACCAACTTGAACCACTCCTGCATCAGCTTGGGGTCATCCTTCTTGCCCATGCCTGCCAAGAGAGGGTACGTGTCAGGCCGCGGGGCACGGCTCGCATGCACCCCGGCCCACAGGGATCACCACACTGGGGCAAATGTGCAAAGAGCCGAGCAAGATGCTGCCGGAACACTCCCAAGCCAGGTCCAAAGTTTGCCTACAGCCAGGAGGGGCCGAGAATGACAGGCCCCTGGCACCCGCCTCCCCCTGGGGCTCCCCAGGCCCTGTTCACCCCAAAGTAACCTCGGCCAGCAGTGACCCTCCCCTCCTCGGGGCTGGTCTACGCGTCTCCTGCTCAGGGGTTTTCTTCTGGTATGTCTTAAATTGCTTTGCCTTCTGGGTTCGTTCATGTAGTATTTATTTGGCACTGGCTAGCTATTAGGTTTCAGTCGAAATCAACAAGGCACGTGTAAGTTCATACACCACACTTCGCCCTTGCTTGAAGTCACGCTCGTGTGACTGCCCTTCTCTGGGGCCACTGGCACTGACGCCTGTCATTTCTTTACATCCTGACTAGGAAGACACTGCTTCTTAGCTTCTGTCCTGTATGGAGCTTCCCGGCACTCTGCTGCGGAAGTCTGCACGGTCTACACGGTTACATCCCAGGATGACTACCAGGTTTCTCACTGAGAGCAGAGAAACACCAGCAGACCCCAGAGATGGAAGCAGGTGGGCGCACCCTGCTCAGATCCAATCTCACAACGGGTTCTGGGGCTGGTGCCTGCCTGCTCAGGCTGCCACCAACACACGACCAACACCACACCTCCCTCAGAGGCGGCCTGACCCGCTGGGCTTTGCCGTGGCGGGAGGGTGGAAGGAAGAACTCTCCAGAGGCTCAAAGCACCCAAGGAGGGAACAAACTCCTCCTTGAAGCACAAAAAAGCGTGGTCCTGCCTCAAAGACTGTCAGTGGCTCTTCGGTATTTCTGGATCACAAACCATTTTGAGAATCTTAAGAAAGCGAGGGACTCTCTTCCTAGAAAGATGCGTATGTGTACACAAACAATCTTGGAAAGAATTCCAGGCTGCTCAGGGCTTCCTGAAGTCTGTCTACAGCCTCAAGATAAGAGGTGCTGGACTGGGCCATCTTTTAAAGTCCCTTCCTTCCACTTTCAGAGTTGCAGAATGTTCTAGCCCACTTAAAACCAGCCCAGGGGCAGGGAACGTGGCCTCAGGGGACCGACTCATGGGGGTCTGCAATATCCTTCCACCAGCCTTCCTGCACACTACCCGTAGACAAATCTCTTGCTGCAGGGGTGTTTGCTGGACACACACGAGGCCTACCCTGTTAGTCTCTAGCCGAAGACACACTCTGGGGAGGCAGAAATGCATCGCGTTCACACAAGCAGGGGTTAGTGTCTGCCCCGTGCCCTGGGGCCCTTGCAGCCCTGCCCCTGCGGGAGTCCTGCCCCTGAGCCCTGCTCTGAAGGACGGAAGCCCCCCGGGCCTGTCCTACTGTGGAGTGCATGCCTGAGTGTCAGGGGACCAGCGCCCTCTTCACCCAATCCAATCTTGGGTCTTGGCTTTCAAAGCAGCCCACAGCTCCGTTCCATGCATTCCTTTCGGAGCGTCTCTGCACAGTGTGCCCACACGGCCAGGGAAGATGGAGCCCGAGGCATGCAAGCTGTCCAGGGCAGCACGGGGAAGTCTGTCCCCTTCCCGCCCCCCCACGCGTGAGACAGCAAGTGCCATCGGGAGACGTGTGCACAGCGCTCACACACCGTGGAGGCGCTCGCTCACGGCCGCCGGGTGGGGGCTGTGAGGGGTGGGGGAGAGTCAGAACGAGCACCGTGGAAGGCAGAGAAGAGGTTAGCAGGGTTAGTTGTGGCCACACCCCACCACATGCCTTTTCAACGACAGTCTTGTCACCACAACAGACTTCAAATCGGACAAACTAAACACACACACACACACACACACACACACACTCGGCAAGACACGAGGTAGAGAAGTTTGCTTTTAGTGGTTGTTTCGGGAAAACACCCGAGGGCACTTGTGTAGATCAGTCTTTGTAAGGACAGTATTCCTTGACTCTGCCATCCAAATCGCTGTGCACAGGTGGAGGCTCGTCACCTGCGTCCCTGCCCCGCTAGCTGACAGATTTGCGACTCGAAGGCCCCATCTCCAAGGGTTGGCCAATACCGCGGGACCTTCTGCTGCAGCCTCGAAAGACCCGTCCCTGAAGGCTTCCTGGCTTCGCTCAGTATCCCAGTCCTCCCCTCAGACAGTCAAAGGGATACTGTGCCTTGTAAGAAACTGCCACATACTCATGACATTTGTAACAGGGGTATCGAGGGTCAGAGAGAGAGAGAGAGAGAGAGAGAGAGAGAGAGAGAGAGAGAGAGAGAGAGAGAGAGAGTGTGTTGGGTTGGCTCCCTGTGTCACTAACGTCGCTACGACCCCTCCGAGAGCGGGGAAGAGGTGGGTGAGGTTACGTTACCTTCCTGGACACAGCAAGGGCAGAAGGAGAGAGGTCTACGCCGTGGAGTCCCGCCACTGGGCTCAACTTCAAAAAGGACCAAACAAGGAAGAAGAGGAGGAGACGGAGAAAGACAAAAAAGGAAGAGGAAAAAGAGGAGGAGGAAGTTGGAAGTGGAGAGGGACAGGGAGGAGGTGAAATAAAAAACAAGCAGAGGACAAAAAGCATAAAAAGTGAGAAAGGAACACCAGGAGGAAAAGAAAAAAAAAATACAAGAAATGGAGAAGCAGAAACAAGGGAAACAAAGTCTACAAATGAATCAAGTCCTTTTTTCAGCACGGAAACTGAACGAGAACAGACCCGGCTCCGGGCACGTGGCTTAGAGAAGGGACGTGGATTCCTTGGGGGAGAAGACACATGGGCTACCCATGGGGTGGCTCTCGGGTCCAGGGGCTCTCCTTCCTGCTCTCTTCCTCCTCACTGGGAGGGTTGTGGCAACTGGGTGCCGCCATGCGGGTGGCCTCTTGGGTCTGGGGCTCCCCCCCCAAAGATGCACGAGGTCCCCAGCGGGTCTGCCCGCCTCTGGGGCCTGTGTGAAATAAGAGGCCGAGTCTGCTTCCAGGCTTGCAGGTGACAGATAACCTGGGTCGCCACCTGGCCTGGGTGGAACCTTCTAAGACGTCGCCACAGGCTTATGTGCTTAGACGCAAGGCTGGCCTTGATATGGCCGAGGGCCAGGATGGGGCCTCTGCCCTTGGCTGAGATGCCCCCCGAAAGGGGAGGTGGCAGCGGACTGAGACGGGCTTTCAGGGCTCTGACGTCCGTGATCCTTCGAATCCTGAGCCTGGGCAATTTGGGGGAGACGTACACAGGCAGAGGTGACGTCCACCAGTCCGCATCGTGAGCCCCCGGCCCACCATGTGCAGGGAGAGCCGACCAGCCCCTGTGCTCGGGCCCCTCCATCTCTGGGGGGGCATCCGACGCCGTGGCCGGGGAGGCTGCCACGCTCTGGACCACGACCAAAGGTGGGGGAGCTGACAGGACACGCCAAAACTGACAGGCACGATGCTGGCAGGAGGGGCGACGGGCCACCGAGAGACAGGATGCAGAGAGACATCTCTAGGACTTGGGGGCAGCTGGTGGCCGCTCGAGGACGAGGGAGAGGAGCTTGGCAAGGGACCATCACAGAACCACAGGAGCACACACGGGACGACACAGCCCGGGGAGACACGGGGCCTTGGGAGGGGGGCGGGGCCAGTGTGTGGTTTATGAGACAGGGTTCAAGAGCAAACTGTTTCGAGTCAACAGAAGGGCCGAACAGACGAAAGTACTGGATGAGAAGCCATTCCACGGTGCAGCTGAATGAAAGCAGGAACCGTGTTCTCTCTCCCCACCAAGTCTTCCACAGGGTTCTGCTTTGGGCACAGTGAGTCTGACGCTGGCTATGACTTTGACACCAAAACCAGGGGTGGGGAGTCTATGCGTCCATGAAACAGACATGGCACGAGCGGCTGACGTGTGGGCCCAGGGAGAGGGTTTCTTTCTTGAAAAGCACGCTCTCTGCCTGACAGCTGATCTCCAGTCAACCTTCTTAACCTCAAAGTGTAGACTCCGCTGAGCTCAAAATGCCTGGATAAATCCCGCCCAATGCGATGTTAGCGAACATTCCCTGCTGCTTCCTGGGACTGGTGTGGCCCGTGACCAGGCTGCGGCATGGAGGGGTCCAGGGCTCTCGCTCACGGGCAAGGGACAGTGGCCTGCTACACAAGTGATCCATATCCCAAACAAAGAAGTGGGCTCCTGCTATGCATGTACATTTAAAAATTGTGTTTCTGCCTGTAACCCCGCGCCTTTGGGAGGCTGAGGTGAGTGGATGGCCTGAGCCGCGGGTTCGAGACCCACCTGGGCAACTTGGCGAGACCTCATCTCTACAATAAATCAAAAAATCAGCCGGGCATGGTAGTGCATGCCTATAATTCCGGCTACTCGGAAGGCTGAGGCGGAAGGATCGCCAGAGCCCGTTAGGTCGAGGCTGCGGTGGCCGGGAGCGGCCACTGCACTCCAGTCCGGGCAACCGAGTGAGACTTCAACTCAAAAAAAAAATGTGTTTCTACTTCTGGAACAAATACAAAGTGGGCTCAAAATACAGCCCTCAGCTCCTTTTCTGCAGACCACAAGGCACACACCCTTCCTGATACAGAGGACACTACGAGATCACAGAATACCGAGAACAGAAGTTAGGAAAGGAAATTAGAAAAAGGGCACGTCAGGTAAAGCAAATGCTTAAACACAAGAGAAGAAAAGAAAAAGGTGTGCTCATGGCTGAGGCTGAAGGTAGGAGGGGAAAGTTCAGGAGGCCATGTCCCCAGGGGTCACTCCCCTTCTTCTCTAGACTTTCCTGTCTGTATACCCCACACTTTCCACTGTGAATTGACACTCCTTTTTTTTCCCCTTGAGTCAGAATCTCACTCTGCCACCCAGGCTGGAGTGCAGTGGCACGCTCATGGCCACCACAGCCTTGACCTGCTGACCTCAGGCGATCCTTCTGCCTTAGCCTTCCAAGTAGCTGGAACTACAGGCATGTGTCACCACGCCTGG